GGGGCAGTTGATATTCTGCCCGTCTGCCCCTTCCAAGTCCTGTCATACCTTTGCCACCTTTTCACAAGGACAACCTGAAATGAGGTGATGCTGACTAGGGCTGTCCTACAGTATACCATGCCTTGACCAACTCTACCTTCATGGACATGCTTCTTTAATAAAACTAAAGAGGAGATGTTGGTTGACTGGGCCTTGCTATGTGGCTCAGACTGGCTTCAAACCCAAAGTGCCTCAATCTCCTGAGTGCTAGAATTATAGGCCTTTATTAGCACATCCATTTCTCAAAATCTATCTTTTTTGTTTTGTTTGGGTTTTTGTTTTGTTTTGTTTTCTTTGTTTGTGTTCAAGACAGGGTTTCACAGTGTTTTGTAGCCCTGGCTGTCCTGAAACACACTCTGTAGATCAGGCTGGTCTTGAACTCAGATATCTGCCTGCCTCTGTCTCCTGAATACTGGGATTAAAGGGATTTGCCACCTCTGCCCAGCTCATCTGTATTTTCTGCTGAGAAAACCAGAAAACTTCAGATACCACCAAGAAAGCCCAACCTGCCAATAGAGACAATGTATGCTTTCCCAAAGACATCTTACCAAGGACAGTGAAGAAGTTATGTGTACTTAGGGCCAAAACTCAGGATGTGTAGCCCTGAGTTCTAGTACTCCCCCTCATTCCTAAATCTAAACAACACCCACCCCTGCAGTTAATCTGCTTTACAGCTTTGCTTAGAGAAGGAAATTCTTTAACTTCTAACTTTGTTTTAAGTCACTCTCTGCAAAAGTACTAAATATTCTGAATAGCTAGAAGCCTCTGGCTGTGAGCTGATGGACTCTGTGACCTAAAAGCAGTGGAAGATTCTACCCTTAAAAAACATGTCTCCTGTTTCACCACCATTCAGCCATTGGGGTGGTGAAATGTATAGAACCGATTGTGTTTCACTCCCTTTATTCCCATGCTTGTTGAAGGCGGGTTAATACCGTGGGAAACTATTCTGTTCTGGTATTTACACATAGAGAGTTTAAGTTCATTTCTGTACATGAATAGATTTATTCAAGGAACAGTTGGTTCCAATGTTTTCCGACTATATCCTTTGAAGTACAGTTGGTTCTGACAGAAGTAAACGTCATAGCAGTTTGTAAACATCATAGCAGTTTGTACTCTGAAACAAAATTAGACCAATGATTTTAACATTATTGTAAAATCTAATAGTCATCACTCACAGAGTTCACTATAAAACCAAAGTGAGAATTTAGGGAAGTAAGGATGTACTCTATGAAGAAATGATCACTACTCATGACAAAAAGTCCTCAGTGAGGGCTGGGGATAGCTCAGTCGGCTTTTTTTTTTTTTTTTTTTTTTTTTTTTGGTTTTTCGAGACAGGGTTTCTCTATGTAGCTTTGGAGCCTTTCCTGGACTAGCTCTGTAGCGCAGGCTGGCCTTGAACTCACAGAGATCCTCCTGCCTCTGCCTCCTGAGTGCTGGGATTACAGGCGTGTGCCACCACCGCCCGGCTCGGCTTTTCTAGTATGCATAAATCCCTAGGTTGGATCCATACCATAAGGTGGAAATAAAGAAAGGAAAAGATGGTCAGGAAGTAATGGCCATGCCTTTAATTCCAGCATTTGGGAGGCAGAGGCAGGTGGATCTCTGTGAGGACAGCCTGGTCTACAGACTGAGTTCCAGGATAGCCAGGGCTATACAGTGAAACCCTGTCTGGGGAAAAAAAACCAAATAATAATAATAATAATAATAATAAGAAGCCGGGCGGTGGTGGCGCACGCCTTTAATCCCAGCACTCGGGAGGCAGAGCCAGGCGGATCTCTGTGAGTTCGAGGCCAGCCTGGACTACCAAGTGAGTTCCAGGAAAGGCCCAAAGCTACACAGAGAAACCCTGTCTCGAAAAACCAAAAAAAAAAAAAAAAAAAAAAAAGAAGAAGAAGAAGAAGAGGAAGAAGAGGAAGAAGAAAAAGAAAAAGAAGAAAATAAAATAAAAATAGATTTTAAAAAAGGAGAGAGAAAGATAATTTGAAAACCTTAGTTTAATAAACAAAGATTATAGAATTCAGTTTAGGAGAATTATATATACCGGGTCTTCCCCAAACTTGTCAATAAAATCCATTTTTGTTTCATTTTGCTTTTTGAGGCATGGTCTCATGTATATCAGACTGGCCTCGAATTTCTGATGTTCCTACTCCTCTGTCTCCCAAGGGCTGGGACTGCAGGTTCACGTCAACCCTAGCTGTTACTCTTCCTGCTTTCCATCAGACATAAATAATGGAGTGACAGCAACAAAAGGCCTAGATGAACCTGACTGAGTTGATTAAGGAAAAATGACAGTTACAGTTTTGTTTGTTTTGGTAAGGGCTTTTCCTTTGGTTTTTGTTTTGTTTTTTTGAGACAGGGTTTCTCTCCTGGCTGTCCTGGAACTTGCTCTGTAGACTGGGTGGCCTTGAACTCAGAGCTCTTGTCTGCCTCCCAAATGCTGTAATTAAAGGTGTGCGCCACTATGCCCAGCTGTTTGCTTGCCTCTTTGGTTTTCTTCAAGACAATAAAAAATGAAATTGCCTCAAAAAATACTTGAATCTAGGTGGGAAGGCCTGTAATTTGGGTACTTTCTGTGCTGAGTCAGAGTATTTGTCAAGAAAAAAGGAAAGGAAAAAGAGGAAAGGAAAGGACTGGTTGAGAGGGCAAGATTCAGTGTAAACCAGCAGATCTGGAGACAAATAACGTAGTTCCCGCACAGGGGTCATCTGTACCGTGGACATCAGTACCGTGGAGAGCGCCCCGAAGAGCCCCCAGAAAAGCCCATGCTTTGTCAATTTGGGAGCTTTCAAATGCTCTCACTGACAACATTTGAGTCCTTTCATGGTCTCATCAAACCAGAACTTTATAAATGCACTGTATGGGTTTTATTTTTATTCAATTATTTCTGTTTTATCTCTTTCTCTTTTTTTGTGCATGGGTTTTAAATAACTATTTTTCCCCTTCAGTGTTAAGGATTGAATCTAGAGCTTGGCATATGGCAGGTAAATGCTGTATCTCTGAGTTACATCTATGGCCCCCAACTTTCCCTTTTTGGGGATCCAAACACAGTACTCATCATGGTAGTTATGGTGATGGCTGAAGGGGCAGCCATGATAATTATTTTGGAATAGTCAGTTTTGGAATGATAGAAGCTGGTAGAATTCCTTGGTCACAAAACAGGATTCATACAAATGACCTTGCTCAATCAATCAGGAATAGTGCTGAGGTGCATATTGGGCAGTCACCCTAGAGCCAGGAACAGCTATGGCACCCTGTGTCTGCATCCTGGGAGGCCCAGAGTAAAAGAGACTTCAGAATCAATACCCTCACTCTACCTCTATGAGTCACTGCCAGCCTTTCCCCACACAGGTGCCCGTTTTTCAATGGGAGTGTCTGTCCTTTGCTGTTTTGGAATAGAGTTTGGTCTGTAGAGATCAGGTTCAACTCTTTTTTTTGCCTTTGTTGCCTAAAAAAAATCTAATAGGAACTACAATGATTTTTTTTTTTTTTTTTGGTTTTTCGAGACAGGGTTTCTCTGTGTAGCTTTGCACCTTTCCTGGAACTCGCTTTGGAGACCAGGCTGGCCTCGAACTCACAGAGATCCGCCTGGCTCTACCTCCCGAGTGCTGGGATTAAAGGCGTGCGCCACCACCGCCCGGCGAACTACAATGATTTTGGCAACTACAACAATGAACTTTTAGACCCGTAAAGGGAAGAAACTTCCAAGGCAGAAGTTCCACCCAATATTTGTTGTTGTTGTTGTTGTTGTTATTCAAGACAGGGTTTCTCTTGTGTGCTCCAGGATGTCCTGGAATTCACTCTGTAGACCAGGTTGGCCTCAAACCCTGAGAGCCACCTGCCTCTGCCTCTGCCTCCCAGGTGCTGGGATTAAAGGCGTGTGCCACTACCTCCAGCAAAGCCAATATCTTGCCAAGCCATGAAATCAAGGTGCCTAAGATGGTTTCAGGAGCAGAATTGGCTATGGCAACGACAGGCTTTGTTTCCAGGACTAAAGCTTAGTGTGCCAGGAGAGCCAGAGAAGTGAAAAGTTTATAACAGACTTTGTGAACATAGCCAGGCACAGTAGTGCCAAGGACTAGGTGCTACAAAGACAGACATGTTTTAGACAGTACTTAGATGTGTAGGCAAAAAGAACATCCACTGTGTATGCTAAGTAGGTTTGCTCGGCTGGAGCTTCCTGCTCGCCCTTGCATGGACTGGGAAGCCCCATTGCTCCTCTCTCTCTTACTCTGCCTACTCCGAGAGTCTCCAAACAAAAGAAAGGCACCAAAAGTTCTGTGTTCTTGGCGGCTACTGCAGCTTCCTCCCCTGATGCCGCCAGCCACCCAAGTCCCCACCTAAAGTGCTCAGCTTTTGACCATATTGGGCACAAACCCAGCTTGTGGTGGACATGTCATCATCACCCCTCACCTACAATCTATAAAATCTTCCTGTCTTAGATCAGACAGGACTTCTCTGGCCTTGATCTCTGAGACCAGTGAACCTGCCTGGGAGTTGCTTTGCCCTTAATAAACCTGTTGTTATGCTTTTTCAGTTAAGCTTGATCTGGCTTACCACGTCAATGAAGAAACATTATTGGGGCAGAAAACCTATTAAGGTACTCTCCCAATCAAGCTATACCCCCAGCCTTATTTATTTATCTTGGTTTTCCTTGATATGTCTTGAATATCTTAGGTTAACTTTGAACATGCTATATAGCAGAGAATAACTTCATATTCACAATCCTCTTGCCTCTACCTCTTAAGTGTTGTGATTACAGGTGTGTGTCACCGTGTCTGGCATATTTTGGTTTCTGTTCTGTTGGAAATGTAAAAGGGGATTACATATTTTTACATGCACATTATTGTTAATTGGATTGGTCTATTTATGACAACACACGTATCAGAGAGAGAGAGAGAGAGAGAGAGAGAGAGAGAGAGAGAGAGAGAGAGATTTGACATATTTCGGGTCTCCGTTTCTAGGCATTCACAAGGCAAGGTTGCTGGCTTCTACTTGTTCAGACTGCTGTTGTGATTCCTGCAATCAAAATGCTCATCAGTATGGGGTTGGAGAGATGGCTCAGTACAATTCCTGGTGGTGTGGAGCTGGTGCCTCTTTTGTGGAGTAACAGAGGAAATGACAATGATTACTTATGAGCCATGATTTGCCCACGGAAGGAGACTGAGATAAGAACTGGGACAGGATGACTCAGCAGGTAATGGTGACAAGCCTGAATACCCGAGTTCAATTCCCGGGATCCACATGGTGGAGAGAAGAGACTCGTGGAAATTGTCTTCTGATCTCCATTTGAGTGTGTGCCATGGCCTGTAAACATGCACACAGAAAAAATAAACAATTGTAATAAGAAATTGAGGAGCTGAGATAATGAGGAGGCTAAGAGCGCTGGATGCTATTCAAAAGGACCCAGGTGCATTCCCAGAACCCACATGAAGGCTAACAGCCATCTGTAATTCCAATTCCAGGGTTGCTGATGCTCTCTTCTGGCTTCTGTGGGCACTGAATTCATGTGGTATGCACACATACATGCTGGCAAAACAGCCATATACATGAAAATAATTTTTTTTCTTAGAGCCGAGGACCGAACCCAGGGCCTTGTGCTTCCTAGGCAAATGCTCTACGACTGAGCTAAATCCCCAACCCTGAAAATGAATTTTTAAAAAATGTTTAAAAAAAGAAACTGAAAGTAGTGGGACAAGATGGTTCTTTGGTGCTTGTGGGGGCCCACAGAGGCTCCCTAATAAGGCCTTACTCAAGGTCAGAGAATCTGAGCTTGCTTTACCCAGCAGGGCTGCATAATAGGATGATTTGGCCACAGGCGTGGTTACCAGGTGTTTCGAAGGGTCTACACTTGGCTGTAAATTGTGTTTGATTTTGAAGGGGGAGGTCTTTTGACGCTCCCCTTGGTAGTGTATAAAAACCCTATTAGAATAAATCTCGAGGAGGCTGGGTATTGATCCAGGGCCCTCCTGAAGCTACCCTGTGTCTCTGTCTTTCTTGACATCTCTGCCTATATTTCTAATACTTCCTCACTCCTCTCTGCTCCCCCCAAGAACCCTTTGACAGGTTGGAGCTGGACTCTGACAGGTGCTGTTTAAGATTAAGGAGCTCACCCCATTCAATAAACTAATGAAAACTTATTGTGAATGACAAGGCTTGCCAACCAGGCGGTTACAGATTTCAATCTGATGGACAGTCAGTAGATGGAACAGACAGACATGCAGAGTTGGCAATGGAGAATGAAGACACACTGATGTGTTCTGGCAGCAGACGGGAGATGTCAGTGAAAAGACCCTTCACTTGCTGCTACTTCAGAGTTCTGTGCCTACAGATCACAAATTCATCCTCAGTTGTAAAACTGCGATTTGGAGCAGGATGTGATGCCAGAATTAGCGAAGCTGAGGCAGGAGGATAGCAATAAATTTGAGGTCACTGTCATCTACATAACCATCTCTCAAAAAAAAAAACAGAAATAAAAGTTCTTAAGCAGTTGTGGTGGATAGTTTTATGTCAACATGACATAAGCTAAAGTCATCTGAGAAGAGAGAACCTTAATCAAGAAAATGCCTCTATAATATCAGGTTGTAGGCAAGCCTATAAAGGCATTTTCTTAATTAGTAATTGATAGAGGAAGGTCCAGCCCGTTGTGTATGGTGCCATCCCCGGGTTGGTATTCCTGGGTTCCAGGCTGAGCTGGGCAATAGTGATGTATGTATTTAATCCTAGCATGCAGGAAGGCAGAAGCAGGTGGATCTCTGTGAGTTCAAGACCAGCCTGGTCTACAGAGTGAGTTCCAGGACAACCAGGCCAACACAAAGAAACCCTGTCTCAAAAAAACAAAAACAAAAACAAACAACAACAACAAAAAAGGAAGCAGGCTGAGCAAGTCATGGGGAGCAAGCCAGTAAGCGGCACCCTCCATGGCCTCTGCATCAGCTCCTGCTTCCTGCTTCCTGTTTCCTCCTCTGCTTTAGTTCTTGTCCCGACTTCCTCCAATGATGAATACCAATATGGACTTGTAAGCCAAATAAACCTTTTCCTCCCCAGTTTCTTTTAGTATTGGTGTTTTATCACAGCAATAGTGAACCTAACTAAGACACCAATCAACCAAAATCACACAAACAAAAAACCTAAAACCCACTACCAAAGAAAAGAACACGGATGGGCATGGTGGTATTGCAAGTTTGAGCTTTGCCTGGCCTATATAACAAGGTCCAGGCTAGTTAGGACCTAATACTGAGACCCTTATCTTAAACAAATAAACAAACAAATACCAAATCTCCAAAACAAAACTGCAATGAAACTCTCACAGTTTTGTTCCCCTGCATTTGATCACTACTTGTGGTACTCTGAATGAGTAATGGCCCTATAAGTTCATATATTTGAATGCTTGGTTCTCATTTGATGGAACTGTTTGGGAAAAATGAGGAGGTATGGCTTTTTTGGGGGGAGGTGTATCACTGGAGGTGGGCTTTAAGGTTTCAAAAGCCCTTGCTATTCATAGTTAGCTTTCTCTCTGCCTTCTGCCTGTTGACTGGGATGTAAATTCTCAGCTACTATTCCAGCACCGTGACTGCCTGCCTGTTGCCATGCTCCCTACCAGGATGGTTATGGATTCACCCTCTGAAGCTATAAGCACCCATTAAATGTTTTCTTCTATAAGTTACCTTTGGTCATGGTGTCTTATCACAGCCCACAGGCCCTGGGCTGGAGAGTTCATTGTAGGGAGTCAGTATGCCAGCCACACCCTGTATAAGGTAGGGACTGGGGAATGCTGGGAGAGCCTGCAGGCCAGGTCCAGCTTTGATGTGTTAAACCTCAGCAGGTTGTCCCAGGCTTGAAACAGTGGTAACCATTGCACAATTTTAGTCTGCTTACTGTCATCATTTAGGGAGCTAAAGTGACAACATTCTTTTTTTTTTTTTTCCCAGACAGGGTTTCTCTTTGTAGCCTTGGCTGTTCTGGAAGTGACAACATTCTATGGCAACACAAATTTCCATGATTTCCACAGCAAAGATCGGAAGATGTGTTTAAGATTCTAGGTCGTTATAGATATTACCTCTCCTTCCATTTTCTATGTCAAAGTTACAGGGCCAACTACAGGGGTGCAGGAGCAGAGTTTCACTGTGTGTCTAGAAGAAAGAAGAAACAATGCTTGAGAAACATGTAACAACATAAAGAGTACAGTTTATTCTGACTAGAGTTACTTTGTTTTATCCTTTGAGGGATTTGACACCTATTTCTAAGTCTGACTCTACTATGTCTTGCGTAATTAGTACAGATTTTGAAGCCCATGTTTATAGGTTTTAATACCTTTTATCATGACTCCTTTAGTTCTTTGAGTACCAGTTTTCTTAAGTTAAATGTTGGTTCTAACTTTATACTCAGGTGTGTACATAGGAAAAAACCCTTTCTAAGAAATGGAAACGTGGGGGGCTGGAGAGATGGCTCAGTGGTTAAGAGCACTGGCTGATCTTCCAGAGGATCTGGGTTCAATTACCAGAACCTACATGGCAATTTCACAACTGTCTGTAACTCCAGTTCCAGGCGATCTGGCACCATCACACAAACACCCATGCAGGTAATACACCAATGCACATAAACATAAATAAATCTTTTTTAAAAAGTAGAGGTGTCATAGAGCTCTTTAATTTACAAGGTATTAGAACACTTTTCATGACCAAAGGTACCCAAAGTTAGATCAGTAAGTAAAAAGCAGATTGTGTTTCTATATAATAATTCTTAAATTATGGCACCCCACCCCGATCTACATTTTGTCTTCCAGAGTTTTTTTTTTTTTAATTATTACTGTATGGGCCAGACATGGTGGCACATGCCTTTAGTCCCAGCACTTGGGAGGCAGAGGCAGGCAGATCTTTGTGTGTTTGAGGCCAGCCTGGTCTACAAAGGGAGTTCCAGATCAGTTAGGGTTGTTACACAGAGAAACCCTGTATCAAAAAACAAAAACAAAACAAAACAAAATTATTACTGTGTGGGGTGGGGGGAGTGGGAAAGAGAGAGACAGAGACAGAAATATATCTATATAAAGAGAAACAGAGAGACAGAGAGACAGAGACGGAGAGTAGGTGTATACATGCTCTTGTAGAGGTCAGAATACAATTTTGGGAGTTAGTTCTCTCCTTTCACCATGATATCCAGGGATCAAACTCAGGTCATTAGGTGCAACAAGCATTTTTGGCCACTGACCCACCTTGCTGGGCTTTTATTTATTGTTATTATTATTATTATTATTATTATTATTATTATTATTATTACTGAGACAGGGTCTTATGAAGCCCACTGTGGCTTTGAATTCACTCTGTCACAGAAGATAATTGCAAACTTCTTATTGCTTGCCTCCACTTTCTCAGTGCTGAGATTCTGGGTGAGTACCACCGTGCCTGGTATATACGGTACTGAGGTTGGAACCTAGACATGCTACACAAGCATCCAGCTGAACTTCATCCCAGCCACCTAGATTTCAATTGCCTAAAGTCAACTGTGACCTGAAAATATTAAATGAAAAAAATTCCAGAAATAAAAATAACTTTTGTTTTATTTTTTAATTTTTTTTTCAAGACAGGGTTTCTTTGTATAGCTTTGTCTGTCCTAGTACTTGCTCTATAGACCAGGCTGGCCTCAAACTCAGAGATCTGCCTGCCTCTGCCTCCTGAGTTCTGGGATTAAAGGTGTGTGCCACTACCACCTGGCTTATTTTTAAGATATTTATGGGGACACGTATCTGTGTTGGGGCATGTGCAGTGGAGAGTGTGGTTCTGGAGGTGGCCAGAGATGTCAGATTCCCTTGGAGTTGGAGTTACAGGTATTGTGAACCAACAGGATCCTCTGCAGTAGTAGTATGCGTCCTTAGTTGCTGAGCCATCTCTCCAGCATCCATGGTAAGTTTTAAATTGTATACTATTCTGAGTAGCTTCACCAAGTCTCACAGTGTCCCACTTTGCTCTGCCTGGGATGGGAATCATGCCTTTATACTGCATGCATGTCCATGCTGTTTACACTATCCGCTACACTCTACAGAGTCTCTCAGTCATCCAGCTGTCCTGTATTGTGGTGTTAGTGTTCAAGTAACTTTTATTTTACTTAGTAATGGCGCCAAAGTGCAAGTTTAATAAGGAAAGACAAAAAGGCTGAGATTGCTCAAGTCTCTAAGAAATTTTAGGGGAAGGGAGAGGAAAGATGGAGAGACTACCTTCGCTTTTATTTATTCTTTTGTTTTTATACTTTTATTTGTATGTATTTATGTATGTATGTTACATCTGGTGGCCAGAGAGGACGTTGGAATTCATGGAGGTTGAATTACAGGCAGTTGTGAATGGCCTTGATGTGGGTGCTGGGCATTGAAATTAGGTCCTCTGGAAGAGGAGCAAGTGAGTGCTTTTAACCACTGAGCCATCTCTCCAGACCTGAAAAATATTTTCTTTCTTTTTTATTTATTTATTTATTATGTACACAGAAGAGGGAGCCAGATCTCATTACAGATGGTTGTGAGCCACCATGTGGTTGCTGGGAATTGAACTCAGGACCTCTGGAAGAGCAGTCGGTGCTCTTAACCTCTGAGTCATCTCTCCAGCCTCTGAAAAATATTTTCTAAAAGCGAATTCAAATAGTAAAGCTGATCAACTCAAGATGCTGTGTTGGTTAGAATTCTCTGGAGGAACAGAACTGGCATGTGTATGATTTATTAGAATGGCTTATGGCCTGTGGTCTGACCACTTCAACAATGCCTGTCCCTGGATGGAAAAGCCAAGAATCTGGTCGCTGTTCTCAGCTCTTCTTCAGTCTACTTTTATTTATTTTTTACCCAGGGTTTCACTCTGGCCCAGGCTAACCTTAAGTTCACGATGTATCCCAGTCTGACAAAGAACTCACACTAGTCCTCTAATTTCAGCCAAGTGCAGGGATTATGGGTAAGAGCCACCACATCTAGCTGATTTTTTTTATTACAACATATTATAGTTTTATAATTATTGCCAATCTTTTCCTGAATTTAATATATAAATTACACTTTTTCATTAGTGTGTTTGTGTAAGAAAAAGTACACGAGAGTTCATTGCTATATGAAGTTTATATGAAATTCAGGCATGCAATGGGGTCTACCCTCTGAGGATAAAAGGGACCATAGTGTTAAAGTTTTTGAGATTGAAATGGCTGCTCAGAGGCACTGAATTACAGGAAACGATGAAGACGAGGCTTGATGACTACTTAACAGGAATCTTGAGAACAATTAGACCAAGTTCTATCCAAGACTGATGATCTACAAATGAGACGTGGTTGCAAAGCAAATACATTTCTTTATGTATAATTATCTTTAACCAATTTTGAACTGCATCTACTTTGTTTCACTCAAAACCTTCAATCAATACAGGAAATACATTAGATAAATTTATAAGGAACTGTGTTATAATGAGCCAAGTGTGGTAGTACATGTCTGAAATACCAGTACTTGAGAGGTGAAGGCATGAGGATTGAGGAATTCAAGATCAACCTGGGATACATGAGAACCCTGTCTCCAAACATCAACAACAACCAAACTATGAAATAATGGAATTGTAGTAGTGAGACTGGAAAGTTACATACAGAGAGGCTGCAATAAGAAGAAAAAACAGGCCAGGTGGTGGTGGCATACGCATTTAACCCCAGCACTCCAGAGGCAGAGGCAGAAGCAGAAGGACCTCTGCGAGTTTAAGGCCATCTTGGTCTACAGAGCGAGTTCCAGGACAGGCTCCAAAGCTACACAGAGAAACCCTGCCTCAGAAAAAACAGAAGAGTGGAAAGGAATGGTCAACACATTTAAAAATATTTAAGCTAGGTGTGATGGTTCACACTTAAAATAACAGTAATCAAGAGGCAGAAGCAGGAGGATCAGGAGCTCAGGGCCAGCATTAGTTACATAGCTAATATGAGACCAGCTTGGGCTACATAAGACCCTGTGTTGAGAGAAAAAGAGAGTGACAGAGACACAGAGAGACAAAGAGAGAGACACACGCACAGGGACAGAGACACACACACAGAGGCAGAGAAAGACTGAAATGTACTGAATAAAATAGAAAGCTAGGCATGGTGGCGCATACCTTCAATCCCAGCACTGAGGCAGAGGCAGGCAGATCTCTGTGAATTTGAGGTCATCCTGGTCTACAAAGTGAGAGACAGCCAGAGCTACATAATAGAGATTCTGTCTTGAAAAAAAAAAGAAAAAATATTTATAGTGTAATATGAATATGCTTATTTGCCAGATTTTTCAGAATATAAGTAAAGGGGACTTTTTTTTTTTTTTTCCGTTTGGTTTTTCAAGACAGTTTCTCTGTGTAGCTCTGACTGTCTTGGAACTAAGTCTGTAGACCAGGTTAGTCTCAAACTCAGAGAGATCCTGAGTGCCTCCCAAGTGCTGGGATTAAAGGCATGTGCCACCATTGCCCTTCAAGGGAACTCTTGAAATATGTATGAGTGAAAGGAATGTAGGTTACAAGAGGTATTTGCGGGGATATTGAGTTCCCCAAAATATTGTGCACCCTAATAAACTTATCTGGGGTCAGAGAACAGAACAGCCACTAGATACAGAGGCCAGAAAATGGTGGCACACACACCTTTAATCCTAGCATTTCGAAGGCAGAGATCCATCTGGATTTCTGAGTTCAAAGCCACACTGGAAACAGTCAGGCATGGTGACTCGCTCCTTTAATACCAGGAAGTGATGGCAAGATGCAGAAAGTTATATAAGGCGTGAAAACCAGGAACTAGACCTGCTTATGCTTTTCGGCTTTTAGCAGCAGTTCAGCTGAGACCCATTTGGATAAGGACTCAGAGGCTGAGTCTGAGGAAACAGGATCAGCTGAGGAATTGGCGAGGTGAGGTGGCTGTGGCTTGTTCTGCTTCTCTGATCTTCCAGCATTCACCCCAATACCCAGCTCCAGGTTTGTTTTTATTAATAAGACCTTTTAAGATTCGTGCTACAGGTACTTTTTCAGAGAGAGAAAAATACAGTATTGACTGTCTCTGTGACATAATCTGCGATAAAAATGACTCTGAAAATATAAAGGTATTACAGGTGTTTCTACAGGTGTCGGGTTACATCTATATATAAGTCAAAGAGATAAGCGTGTCCTCCGTTTATCAGTTGGAACTCTGGTCCACAGATAACAATATTATGAAAGTTCTGTGTTCCTACAATCAACTGCTTTGCAGGAGAGTATGCTCAGGTTTTGTTACAATTAGGAAAGGTCATGAAGCAGGAAAACAGAAAAAAGAAGTCCCTTTCGTTGTCAGAGGAAAAAAAGAGTGAGAATCTCCTATACAGATTCCAAATAAACTTGGATTTGGAGAGTAATCATTGAACGAAATTTGACATCCAAGGTTTTCTCCCCACTTATGTGAATTCTAATAGCAGGCCTCCCGGGTGAAGGTAAGAGAAAAGTACTTTTTCATTTAATATCTCCACAGAAAGGAAATCAGCCTAGCGAGATGTACTGAGCAATATCCCATTTCTGAGGACGTAAAAAAATATGCACAGGATAGGTTGGACACGATCTCTCCTTTAAAGAAGATCGCACAGCGACCATCAGCGTCCACAAGCGCTGCGCTCACTATTGTGTCTGCACTGGCAGCAGCAGAACTTAGTCCCACCGCGACATTAAAGAGTCCCTCTTTGTTCAGCGCTGGTCCGGGAC